TAGGGTACTTGATCGGTAGCCCTAAGCACTAAACTTGATATCACTTTTAACTATCACCCCACCAAAGCGGTGGTTAAGGCCAAAGTAAGATGAAAAGTTTTTCTCTTATTTCAATACTGTGGTATTTAAAAAATTTTTTTTTTGCTAACACGTCTTCCCTTCATTTGTTTATCTCTTTTATTAAGGATAACTGACCGTGGAAATTGGATTGGTAAAATCACACATTCCAATTCTTACAACTACATGCAACTGGAAGCAAGGGTCAACAGAACCGTCGGCGGTGTCTTCAATAACTCTTCGCCAGTCTCCAGTCTTCCACTAACGGTCTACGTGGTTCAAGGTATCCCATCAATCATCAGAATACCTGTTGAAGATCCTGATGGTGACATAGTGCGTTGTCGTTATGCAAGCTACCAGGAATGTTACAGAGGAATGTGTACTTACTTTCCTCATGGAGTACTAGACGAGGTAAGCTACCAGGAATGTTACAGAGGAATGTGTACTTATTTTTCTCATGGAGTACTAGACGAGGTAAGCTACCAGGAATGTTACAAAGGAATGTGTACTTACTTTCCTTATGGAGTACTAGACGAGGTAAGCTAACAGGAATGTTACAGAGGAATGTGTACTTACTTTCCTCATGGAGTACTAGACGAGGTAAGCTACCAGGAACGTTACAGAGGAAAGCGTATTTACTTTCCTCATGGAGTACTAAACGAGGTAAGCTACCAGGAATGTTGCAGAGGAATGTGTACTTACTTTCTTTGTCATCATTTTCAGGGAAATTGTAGTCTCAGCTATAATGGCGGTGGTTATGTAAATCAACTCTTCCCAGTCATTTTGAAGCTTGAAGATTTTCCTTCAGGGACAACGCAGTTTGATTCGTCTAACAGTTTGGGCTCAGTGGATCTGCAGTTTGTAGTGCACGTTGTCACCTTAACAGGTAATATGCAGATCACGTAAATACATTTCCCTTTAGTTATCCACAGTGATCAGTCACCATCATGTTAGAATAGAAAATACCACCGTTTGAGAAGAATTAACCAACGCAATTACCCGTACGCGCGCATATTTCATGAAATAGGCATATTTACAGCTTGTGCGTAACACCATAGTTAATAGTTCAATATTAACTATGGTAACACGAATGGTATTAAGTCACTTTCATCAATTACGAATGATATTTTTCATTAATTCTTCGAGAGCTAAGGTGGTATTTCCTATTAATAACAGATCTGCAATGAAAAACGCGTTGATTATAAAATATAAATCGTCGAGATGTTTTTTTGTAATCATTCGAACCATGCGTGCAATATATGAATTAAATGAACACAGTAACAAAATTGACAGTGAATCAACCATTTGCAATCAGAAACAAGTATTTTTGTAGATGTGTTATTAACAAGGCCATTGCGCGCGTACTTGCGGAATCCTTTCTCTACGCCCGCAATCCTTTCTAGGCGCACAATCCTTTCTAGGCGCACAATCCTTTCTACGCGCACAATCCTTTCTACGCGTACAATCCTATCACGCGCACAATCCTTTCTACGCGCGCAATCCTTTCTACGCGCGCAATCCTTTCTACGCGCGCAATCCTTTCTCTACGCGCGCAATCCTTTCTCTACGCGCGCAATCCTTTCTCTACGCGCGCAATCCTTTCTACGCGCGCGAGGAAAATATAAAGAAACATGTAAGATTTTACTGATGCAGACTTTTATAGATATAAAAGAAAGTCGCACGCCGTTGAGCCATCTTTATATTTAGCTTTGTGAAAGTACTTTATGATATCTCCTTACAACTATAAATCTGACGATGCGATCAAATCGAAATCACATATTTTGTGCATAATCAGTTTTCTTTTCGTGTTTAATAAGGTGCGCATTAAAATATTTTTCTGACAGCTTTCAATTTTTGCGAAAGGTGAACTTCCACTATTATAATTGGCTAAACGGCGTCAATGTCTATTTTATTAATTTGCTCATGCTACTTCTAATATCACGTACCTTCATCATGCAAAATTTAAATGGTGCGAAAGATATGATACTTTCTTATTTTTTCCTTTCAATCTAAAAACCTAAAGAAACTAACCTTTCTTTTTCTGATGTCAGATACGGTTCGCATTCAAGGGGGAGGGTCCTCTGGTCGATTGCAAGTTCTTCATAATGGAGTATGGGGTACAGTGTGTCATGATAGATGGTCCATGGCCAACACCCACGTGGTTTGCCGTCAGCTTGGCTTTGCTGGTGCCCTTTCTTATCATAACAGTGGAGGAGGAACAGGACAGATATGGCTTGATGAAGTACGATGTTCTGGCAACGAGAGTGCTATTCAACAGTGTAGACATGGTGGATGGGGAAGTCACGACTGTAGTCATGGTGAAGACGTCATCGTATCCTGCTATCATACTGGTAAACAATAACCTATTGAAATATTAGTGTTACAGTTTTAATAAGAGGAATTGCATGATAAGGATGATGATAATGTTTTATTTGATTAATAATGATAAACTATATTTCAATAGGGAACATTTAACAATTTACGATGATGAACTTATTACGTAGGGTCTTCAGACAATAATTATTAAAATGAAATAAAATCTATTACATACATGGTGTACTATATATACATTAAAAACCAATCATCAGTGATACATTGAAATTAAGCAGGTTTATCGTGGACTATTAAGCGTCTTTTAACATATATTTAGGAATCTTTCTTAGCATTCGACAACATCGTAGACTGCGTGACGTTATAAACCTGTTTTTACATTAAGCATGTAACGAATATTAAAGCTTTTAAGCACTTATAGGGTCAAAAGCAATAACTTTACTAATTTGAAAATATTTAAATAAAGAATGCCGTTACTACACTGTGCTGAACACAACAGACCGAGCCGCAAGCTATAGTGGAATAACGAACAAGTGTGATAGGTACGACATCATCCCTGGATGGTATCGCTTCATGGGAGATGCTGGAACTGCCATAGCGAAATCATGTGTTGATATGAACCACTGCGGAACTTATGTCCCAGGATGGATGCGAGGTTCTCATCCCACCCAAGCAGAGGGTATCGTGACTCGTATGGTGTGCTATCACTGGAATAGTAACTGCTGTAAGTTGAGCAACAGTATTCGTGTGAGAAACTGTGTAGGGTTCTACGTGTACGAGCTTGGCAGACCCCCATCTTGTAACTATCGTTACTGTGGCAGCGGAAATAGTAAGTATAGTTTTTTTTCCTTATCATTCATTAGGTATAGTTCAAGTCTAAACCTTTTGATAAAGAAACGTATAGAGTGATCATAAATTACTCACGAAATTGTTTAGTAGACAGTCCTATTTTGACAAAATGTCTGAAAGGTTCATATCTTCCGGTAAACCTGTCTACGTATTGGGAGATTTCAACATAGATCTTCTTAAATCAGAATTTTCTACCTTTAGCAATAATTTCTTACTATCTTTACAAAGTTATTATTTATTTCCTACTATTGAAAAAACGAACTCGAGTCACTTCTAGTTTGGCCACCTTGATGGATAACATTCTTACTAACAATCCT